ACCAAGTGTTAAAGTTGCTTACAAAAGTGCGTTTGCAATGAGAAAAAGTAAGTAGCTGAGGGTGTACGTTCAGCATGAGCTATCAAAGCTGTTTACAGGGTGCTTCCTGCCAAGGTGCGTCCTGTTGATGGTGGTGGGGCTGGCAACATGCAACGCGTACGCCGTCGTCACAGCCATTCCGGAGGACGACCCGTCGACAGGGACCACCCAAGAAGTCAGTGGAGTGGCCCATCTGCCGCTTACTATCAGCAATGCGACTGTACCCTATGTAAGCTGAAGTGTCGCCGAACAAGACAGTCCGACTTCCATCAACCTCATTATGACGCACTGGCTTTCAAACTGCAATAAGCACGGTCTTCATTTTGCAATAACAAAAACTTACCACTATATTTGGGACACGGTTAAAACGGCTCCTGGTTTTCCCAGGAACTCCCTGGAAATCGCCTGTGTTTTTAGCATGGGCTGGGCGTCCTAGGAAAACCAGGAACCGTTTTCACCGTGCAATGATGACTACCGAAAATCTGCAATAACATAGTTTCGTCCGAGCTTTCATCGGTCAATAGTTTTCTCTGTGGAGGCCTTCGCAGTCTGGGCCTTTCCGCCCAAAACCCCGTTGCAGCGAACGTGTAAAACCCTCCCCTTTCTTTTCTTTGTCCCAGGACCAGGCGACTCTGCCGACCTTCCTAAAGAAAGAGGATGCCATGGGATTCAAGCGAGCAGATCAAAAAATCCAGATGGGTTCGCACAATAGACTGCGTGAGGCGATGATCGACATACGTAATGATATACCAACTGAAGGACCTCATGGTGCATCTTGTGAAGAGGCTGCGGAAGAGCCGCGCGAACCAACCACTGAATTGACACAAAACGTTACCGTGATGATTTCAGGGGGATTTAAAGCCGCCCTCAAGAAATTATTATCGCAATATAGTCAGGGGTGTAAGCGGTTGAACCTTGCACTTTCTGACCCCGGTCTGGCGCTTTGCACGGGTGTTCTAGAGACCCAAAATAACGATTTGAGATTTGGGAGGCACCCTGGGAACGCTGCAGGGACCGGTGGGAAGCAAAAATCTCCCTTTTTGTATGAAAAATTCCTATTTAACGCCAAAAAAATCACCCGAAAGCGCCGCTGCATGCGTATATTTTGTCAAATGTGGACCCGTTTCTGTCTTTTTGGGCTTTACAAATTTTGCTTCAACATGGACCTTCACTTCCCAAGGCGTAGAAGAGTGTCATTTTGCCCTTTGGGGGAAAATATCTTTCAGAATTGTGTACCCCAAAAATTAGCGTAAATGTTTTTGAGGTTGCTCGGAGTTCCAAGTCATTTCTTTTGATGAATGTTAGAGTTGTTGCTTGTTTTCTGGGGCCGTTCCCTTATCGAAACTGACAAAGTTGACTCAAAACGCACCCTAAGAAAAGGATCAAAATTGTTTGTGCGCGCGAGAAATATTGTAATGTAAGCTCTGAGGGTAGGTAACTGAAGAGAAGACGTAGATGTTAACTGATTAAATGATGCTAAGACAGGATCCGATAGACTAGGGAGTGCTGAGAAATTCTCTACAAATCGAAAAGCGTACATTGAATGCTGTCGCTGCAGCATGCCTGCAAGCGCGCTCTAGCTAGCGCATGCCTGTCAAGCATGCACCAACAAGTGCATACCTGCCATACGCTTCCTGGAGCTGACAAGTCTCTATCCCTCATGCACTAGATGTATGCTCCAGTTAGTGTGTACATGGCAGGTATGCACTTGCTCGTGCGTGCTTGCAGGCATGCTCCAGCTAGAGCATACGATGTACGCATGTCGTTTTGAAGAGATACACACTTCTATGGGAAAGCGCTTGGAAAAGCATAGAGTACTTGCATCGGCGCTCTTGAAAAAAAAAACGCTTGGAACCTACGCGCTCCCAGAGATCCGTACTTGTCTTCGTCAACTATGGAAGTGTCCTTGTAACGGCACACACACCGGTGTACCAAGCAAACATTTTACCATTTGCCCATTCTGTCGAACGGTTGGCAAAAACAAAACCCATTTCCTAATCCATTTACATGGGCACTTGATCCACGAAGCGGAAGAAGGGGTTAAGTCGAGTTGATTCAGTGACCTCTTATCAGTCTATCAAGTAAACGTGAGCGAAAATTTGGTCCAAAATGAAGTGTGGTGAGACAAGTCCCATCCTCTTGCATCTTTTTAGATGACATTCCCCACCTGTTCTCCCACCTGCAAGGTTCAGGCCTTTCAGAAGTGCACGGATTCAACTCGACTTAACCCCTTCTTCCGCTTCGTGGATCACTTTTCATGCACCCATTTAATTTAGTCCAACCCATTCTTACGGGTGCAACCCGTAACCCATGTAATGGGTGTCTGAAAAGTACTCATTTGTATGGATTGCACCCATAACGGGTCTAAACCATTACAAAGTGTCCAAACTCGGACAAGGCTTGTCTTTTATTTCTTTTTCAAAGAAGGTTTGTCAACCGTGATGGTCGTCAGAAACGTAACTTTCGGCGCTTAACACAATGGTGGTGGCCTTGCAATAGTTTCCAGGTTACCCCTGATTGGTCGGTGGGTAGCGGATTTGCCTACCTTTGCATCACACTTTTGCCAAGCCTAGCAGGCGTTTCTTAAGCGAACCCAAAGAGCTGGGTCTCAATGGGTCCTAACCCATCCAGGATTAAATGGATCAGAACCCATGGTCGAATGGGTTTTGTCTGCTACGGAATGAAAAAAAAAACAAAACAAGCTAGGGCCCGCCCTTCCGTCGAACCGAGTTGCCAGCTCCGCTTCGCTGCGCCGGCAACTCGGTTCGACAGGGGGCCGGCCCAGCTTGGCCTGCCGGCGGCCTCTTCTCGGGCCTGCGGCCCTCGCATCAGACCCAACTTGGCCAGTCGAAGGCCCAGGCCTTCGGCCCGCTCGCATCACACACACCGTGAGCGGGTAAAGCAAAGTTATCGATGTACCATCGTGACTTAGGCCCGCCCTTCTGTTCACAATATGCAATAGTCCTTACACTTTTTACTCCAACTGTCCTTAGAATATGCCCATTTCATTTGTCTCTTCGCACTCATTCCCAAAATACCCATATTTGCCATGCTACTGCAACTCCTTGCGATAGAGGCACAGCAGGAGCGCAAAACGAGTCCGTCGCACTTTTTCTCATAACTCATGAAGGCGGGCTCCTGGACCCCCCTTCCGACCCCTCGTTGAAGAGGTCTTGCCAAGACCTATCGAAAACTTAAGTAAAAATTTTCAGTCGGTCGACCCCCTTTTTTGAAGATCCTGATGTGACTAATAGACGAAGTCGGGCTCCTGGACCCCCTTTCCGACCCCTCGTTGAAAAGGTCTTGCTGAGACCAATCGAAATCTGCAATAAATTTTTTCAGTCGGTCGACCCCCTTTTTTGAAGATCCTGATGTGACTAATAGACGAAGTCGGGCTCCTGGACCCCCTTTCCGACCCCTCGTTGAAAAGGTCTTGCTGAGACCAATCGAAATCTGCAATAATTTTATTTAAGTCGGTCGACCCCCTTTTTTGAAGATCCTGATCTGGCCAACTTGTAAAAGCGGCCGATGGGGTCGGGACCAGGTCCATTCATCTTGTCTCGTCGCCCCGATTCCAAAAATACCCCTATGTGCCCTGCTAGCACCAATAATGGCGGAAATCCCCCTCCCCTCTGAAAACCATGATGCACCTGCAGCAGCCCTTGGGCGCCCCGGACGGGATTTGCACCCCGGATTTTTTGTTTGGACGGTACTCCTGAAGTCCCCTCCAAATCTGGCTACTCTAGCTCAACTCCTTCCTTGTACCCCGACGCCAAAACAACAACAACAAAAACAACAACAACACACAGACACAAAGGCAAATGCATAGGCCCTCCCCCTTTTTTTTGAATAGAAGGGCGGGCCAAAACAACTGTACTTACAAGCTCCAAGCAAAATAAACAAGCTAGGGCCCCCCCTTTCCGTCGAACCGAGTTGCCAGCTCCGCTTCGCTGCGCCGGCAACTCGGTTCGACAGGGGGCCGGCCCAGCTTGGCCTGCCGGCGGCCTTTTCTCGGGCCTTCGGCCCTCGCATCAGACCCAACTTGGCCAGTCAAAGGGCCCCGGGCCTTCGGCCCACTCACATCACACACACAGTGAGCGGGTTTAAAGCAAAGTTATCGATGTACCATCGTGACTTAGGCCCGCCCTTCTATTCAAAATATGCAATAGTCCTTACTCCAACTGTCCTTAGAATATGCCCATTTCATTTGTCTTTTCCCCCCTCATTCCAAAAATACCCATATTTGCCATGCTACTGCAACTCCTTGCAATAGAGGCACAGCAGGAGCGCAAAACGAGTCCGTCGCATTTTTTCCCCATAACTCATGAAGGCGGGCTCCTGGCCCCCCCTTCCGACCCCTCGTTGAAGAGGTCTTGCCAAGACCTATCCAAAACTTAAGAAAAATTTTCAGTCGGTCGACCCCCTTTTTTCAAGATCCTGATGTGACTTATAGACGAAGTCGGGCTCCTGGACCCCCTTTCCGACCCCTCGTTGAAAAGGTCTTGCTGAGACCAATCGAAATCTGCAATAATTTTTTTTAGTCGGTCGTCCCCCTTTTTTGAAGATCCTGATCTGGCCAACTCGAAAAAGCGGCCGAGGGGGTCGGGACCAGGTCCATTCTCTTGTCTCGTCGCCCCGATTCAAAAAATACCCCTATGTCCCTTTGCTAGCACCAATAATGGCGGAAATCCCCCTCCCGCTCATGTAAACCATGATGAACCTGCAGCAGCCCTTGTGCGACCCGGACTGGATTTGCACCACCGGATTATTTGTTTGGACGGTACTCCTAAAGTACCCTCCAAATCTGGTTACTCTAGCTCAACTCCTTCCTTGTACACAGACGTCAACAAAAACCAACAACACACAGACACCAAGGCAAATGCATGGGCCCCCCCCTATTTTTTAAATAGAAGGGCGGGCCAAAAAAAAACTGCATTATTTCCCGGGCCTCGTAAATTTGGCACTGCCAATCCAAGTGTGAGACATTCTCACACTTGTAGGTGCGGGACATTTTGTCTCACGCTTACAAGTGTGAGCCACGTTCGTCTCACGCTTGCAAGTGTGAGCAACGTTTGTCTCACGCCTGCAAGTGTGGGACAACGAAGTCGGACACTTCCAAGTGTGGGACACAGCTTGTCCCACACTTGCTGCCTATGCTAGATTTGTGGTTCAATGCCACGGGTCCAGCGCCTGCAAGTGTAGGACAAACCGTGTCTCACACTTGCAAGTGTAAGACATCGATGTCTCCCCTTTCCAGCGTGAGACAAACGTGGCTCACACATGTAAGCGTGAGAAAAATGTCTCACACCTATAGTCTCACACTTGGATTGGCCGTGTGCAAAGCCGTGTGCCATCCTTCAGAAGAATAAAAGATTTTTACTGTTTTCTCCACCTTGCGACAGTACGCACTTGTAGTTTCTGAACCAGAAGAGTTGCCGTTACCAAACTGTGTCAAAAGGATTTCATAAAAAAGTGGCAACAGACATGGGCGTCTTTCATCAAAGTAAAATGAAAGAGTTTTAACCCTTACCACACCAGAAAGGTGATAACAATATTCCTCGCGCAGCAAAAACATTATGATACTTCTCTAAGGGTGCGCTTCGTGCCAACTGTGTCAGTTTCGATAAGTGTTCGGCCCCAGAAAACAAGCATCAACCCCAACACACATCAAGAGAAATGACTTCGAACTTTCAGGCACCTCAAAGACATTGTAGCTAATTTTGGTGAGCTCATAGTCAAAAATATTTCCCCAATGACATAATGACACTCTTCTACGTCTTGGTTACTGAAGGTCGATGATGAAGCAGAATTTGTCAAGCCAAAAAGACAGAAAAGGGTCCACATATGACGAGATATACGCATGCAGCGGCCATTTCGGGAAATTGGAAGGCGTTTCATACGAATATTTCCTACAAAAAGGGATTTTCGCTTCCCCGCGGTTTCCCGCAGCGTTTCCCAGAGTGCCTCCAACTCTAAAATCGTTATTTTAGGTCTCTAGAACACCCGTGCAAAGCGCCAGACCGGGGTCAGAAAGTGCAAGGTTGGTTCCAAATCTGTCGCTTACAGCCCTGACTAATATGAAGCCAAAAGTGGCTACGAAGTTATTTTGGTACCTGGCCCTTCAATGGGGCAGTCGCCACAGGCAATCCCCAATCGTCTGGCCCGCGGTGAAAAAGCGGACGTAGTAATTATGGTGGGCGATGCGTTGACAAGTCTCGAGAAGGGTAACTGGACCCAGCCGGGCTCACGCACTGAGTTGGCTGACTCGTCCATCGGCATGGTGGTGAAAAAAGGTGATCCATGGCCCGATATCAAAACCGTAACTGCTTTTCGCAACACCCTTCTGGAGGCAAAATCTATAGCCTACTCCGACAGCGCTAGCGGTACTTACATCAGCAGCCAGCTGTTCAAGAAGCTGGGCATTGAAGACCGGGTGAAAGACAAGGCGCATATGATCGAGTGCATTCCAGTTGCCTCAGAGGTAGCCAAAGGAAACTACGCTTTGGGCTTCCAGCAAGTGAGCGAGTTGCTGCCAGTGCACGGCGTTGATTTAGTTGGTGAAGTGCCTGACGAAGTACAGCTGATCACACGTTACGCCGGAGCGGTTATCGCAGAAGCTGTAAACCAGAAGGAAGGTGAAGCATTACTAAGCTTTCTCTCGTCACCCGAGGCGCAGGATATCATTCACGCAGCCGGCTTGAGGTCCGTCCGGGCCGAAAATGGTGGAAGTAGCTGTAGGAGTTCTCACACTGCCAATGCAGTCTTCATTCTCCTTGCACTCATCACTATTCTCTTCTAAGGCTGCCGGAAAGTGACTTCATTCAAGCTAACATGGAGCCTACTCCATGACCCTTTCTATTTTCGCCCGAGCGAAGCGAGTTAGCAGGGGGTTGCAGGTCAACGCCATGTTTGCACCCGCGATGCAGAGGTTTCACACTTCTGTAAGGTTATGAAAACTGAGGGGGTGTGGGATCTATGACCGACCACTGGGGTCCCATGAGCGAGTGGTTTTTTTCTTCTCTTAATTTTCTGTCTGATTATGATTTATTTTCGACTCAAAGTTGTTTTTTTCGCAGAAGAAGGTTTTCTCACGAATCGTCAATCACAAGTAAGATTCAGAAAGGTTCTGAACCAATATCCCAAACAACCCCAGCCAACTCAGGCAGAAGGCAGCGAGGCCTACGGATCGGGAGTGGTGAGGGTCGGCCTGGGCTCTTGCCAACCTAACGGAAACAAATGTATCTGGGCATCCTTAGTATATGCAGGGTTGTTTTGTTTATGTAGTGCCACAGTGCAGCCAGGGGCGAGGGACTTTCAAACGAAATGAAAGAAATGTTTGTCTCAACATTATATATTATAATAACATAATTCAAAACAAGAAGAAATTACAAATGTAACCAAAAAATAAATAAAAATACACAATGTCATTATATTAGTACAGTATATCGAATACCCATAACATTAATAAATATAAAATTTCATCCAATCAAACGTCAAAAATAGCAAAACTAGAATTATTTTTGGCGGAGCGATAGCGAAGCCTGTTACTCCAGTGCGGTTGAAAAGTTTTTTCTGTCTGTCTGTCGGTGTGTCCGTGAGTGTGTACATTACTCCTCCTGAACGGCTCGGCCGATCTGGCTGAGATTTTGCAGGCTTATTAGGTATGTTCGTGGCTTGACACACGCGAAATTTCACTATCCTAGCTCACGTAGTTCAGCTTTTATAGCCGAAAAACATCGCTAAAAACCGGCGAAAAATCGAGTTTTATGCAGGCAGGTCGACTATGTCTTGCAGGAAGGGGGGTCTGGGGGGCGGAGCCCCTCAGCTTCGCGAAGTTAAAAAGTTACAAGGGTCAAGATCGTGTTATCTGTAGATGAAACAACTCTATCTGGAATGAAGGGGGGTCCCCCCCAGCATGCAACAAGTAAGAAGTAACCGACGATGGAGAAGCCAATGCCTGCATAAGGCAGGCTGGCGCCGCAGGCCAAGGTAGGTAAGGGAGTATGGGGCGATTTGTAACAGATTTCGGAATTCTCTATACAAAATTAAGAACATTCTGCATATCGGTGTCAAACTTGTGCCAGTTGAGCAGTCTGGCCCTTCATCTAGACTGTGCAGCTCCATTGGATCAATCTGGAGTCCGTAATCTTTGAAATTTAAGACGTTTTTCAAACCCTTGCATGCTGTTACGAATCGCCCCAGCATGGGGTGATTTGTAACAGCCATGGGGCTTTTCATAACATCCTACACATTAAATGAAACATCGTCGGGAATGATATCTCCTCCACCAGTTGTTCTTCGGGTGTCCTGCAGACGTCTAAAAATCTACATTACAAGCTGTCGTTGACCGCCTCCGCATTAACGGATCGGCTATGTCAATCCTAACCTCACTTTTTTCAATTTTAGATGAAAGAATAGAATAACTCGCTTTAAAATGCATTTCGAGCTGTGTAAATAAATTGGAATAAGGCAGCAGATGATTCGAGAAAAAATTCAAGCATTTAATTGCTAAAACTACAAAGATTCTTGTTTTTATACGGGTCTGTTACGAATCACCCCAAATGCCTGTTACGCAAGAAATACGTCCCTAACTATCACTGGACAAAGTAAAAGCAACTTATGCCACGTGGTTACATTGTAAAGGGGTCACGCTTCAAGGCCCCAACGGTACTTCGATGGTGATTCATACCTGGGGAGCCTCAGACAGAAACTTCCTAGAACTCAAAATAAAAGATTTTTCCTGTTTGCCGAAATTTCGGTGTACCCTATATTTCAGACGCCCTCCAAAACTATACCTGAGCACCGATCACATCCGCTTCGATTGTTCAAGGACCCTGTACTTGAAGCGAAAGAGGGGCCATACTCAGATTTTCCTCTGCTCCCTCCACTTAAATTAATAAACGCATTTGTTACGAATCGCCCCTGTTACAAATCGCCCCATACTCCCTTACGCCAGGCGCGGATTGAAGGAACAGGCCGCAAGACATCGCGAAGCCTGTTACGACAAGACGCGGTCTGGCGTAAACCTACCTTGTGCAAGAAAATGGTCACTTATTCTAGTAATTAACTCTTCTTTGTTCCCACCAACTTTTGATTTCAAGGAACGAAGGATTTCTTTCAACTGCGGAACTTTTAAGGTGGCAAGCTGAAACATAAAATGCAAAACAATGAAAACACACCAGCAAACATACTGTTTATTTTAAGTCAAGGGAAGTGGAATTTACCTTTAGTTCCTTAGCCATCAATTCTATTCCAATAGTGTTAAATGTTGATGTTGCAGCAGAAGGAGTGGGTGGAGCCTTCCACGAATCATACACCTTTTGCCGAGCAGGTGTTATCTGATGAAAACAAAATTATTTTTAGACAGAAATAGAATAAAGGAAGACTGCGTGAGAATAAAGCATGTACTTGATAAACAGAAGCAGCAGAGGGAGTCACAACTTGAGATCCTGTCAGGACCTGACGGGGTGTCCCAGGAGTAGGCCTTACCACAGAAGGGGTGACAGGTTGAGAGCCCCGAGGCGTCACAGGAGCAGCATTAGTAGGTACACCTGAAATCAGAAAAAAATTTAAAAAAAAGCTTTGTGGCTTCTTTGTGAAAACAAATTTAAAAAATTAATACAAAAATGCTACAAGACAATAAAATGACATGCAAGGTGATCAGTGAGACAAAAAAATTGAGAGGCATGCTATGACTTATCTAATCATCCAAAGTTGACGATATTCCCAAGACCAGCCTACGTTCCACAACATCACATATTGATAGAGTAGAAGTGCCTGTTGACTTCTATGGTATGATCCTGAAACAAAGATTAATATAGGATGACATTGAAACTTGCAAGTGTGGAAACACAAAACACAAAGTTGTGTGAAGAAGTAGATTTGTAGAACTGGTGAAAAAGTTGAAAATACTAGAATGAATGTGAGAGAAAGCTCTGTTCATAACATACCACATCTCATGGTGAACAGAGCCTTCTGTCACATTCACTCTGGTACTCTTGACTTTTTCACCAGCTCTAGGTCCATTACATGAATCAAAAAATAAATCCACATCTTCACACAACTCTGCAAACAGTAGACAGTGGCTTAATTTTGTGGAATTGCTGAGGGCATGAAATTTTCTAATTGCATTTGCAACATAGGGACTACTTGTGCAGCATAAGACACTCTCATTTTGTCTCGGCCCTGTGGATTAAGATGCTTGTTAGTTAAAGAGGACATTGGGTTCAAAGATTCGTCTAGCTTGAAGTACTCAATGAGGTGCCTCCATTTGGCCACCTTATCAGTATCAAATTCTAAGTTGCTGGATAGCAAATTATTCCGCACATTTTTCAAAATGTGCGGCATGTCCCACACATGAACCAACCAGTGACCAGCAATATTCTACATAATGTCGTCTCCACTTTCTCTTCTTAAATCTGAAATAGCTCCCACATTTGTGGCACCTTGGTCTGAAATAGATCCAAGTACTGTCAATCCTATTTCAAACAGTTGCTTGATAACTTTTTAAAAGAGCATTTTGAGCATTGATGAAGGGCATGTTTTGCTGACAAAATAATATGCCACAGAAAATGTCCATCTAGACTTCACACCTTGTACCATAAAAACCAAAGCATGGTCAGCAACTCGATTAGTCCTACCCAAGTCTCCATAATTCTCAAATCCTTGCACTATTCCCAAACTTGAATTAAAATACAGATTCCACCTCAAAAATATTTCATTAAATGATACAGTGCAGAGAGTATCTGAACTCAACAGATTTCACTTTAGTAGTAAGATGATAAATAAAAGATGCAGAGATGGTGGCAGGGGAATCCTCTGTAAAATTTCTTTTAAAGAGCTCTCAGAGGGCAAAATCATGTACTTGGACAAATCGGTATGCTCTTGGACTACGCTTAAAAATGGAGAGAGCAAATAATTTATCTTGCAGTAACTATCTTCGGCCTAGACGCTTTCTTTTAAAATTTCTCATCTCTCCTTTGACAATTTGACGAGTTACTGGAGAGATGGCCAGCTCACCATATCAACGAACCTTCTATTACAAAGCTTTGAGAGATCTGAGTTCCGTCGCTGTGCCACAAGCAGCTTCCTCTGCATTGTGAAGGCCATCTGCCTATACTCCTGAGCAGTCCTTGCCAGTTTCACTGCATCTGGGCTCATCTTCTGGACTCCTGAGTACTCCCCTAATTGTTTAAGGCTAACCCTTTTCTTGCTTGGGGATGAGCTTCGACTCTTCGAGTACGAGCCCAGGTAGACTCCATAGAACCTGCAACAAAAAATTAGAAACTGTGGTAAGTAAAAAAATAATTGTTTGCTCTTTTACAAAGTAGTTTTACAAACAAACTATAAACAAAAATATAGTTCAGAACGAGGTAGACTTTTATAAATTATAAAATTACTAACGGCGAGGAGTAGCATTTGGCTGGAAATCAGTTTTGGGCATCTTCAGATCTGGCTCAAAGTACAAATGCTCCTCATCTATGTAAACATCGTCATGTGGTCGTTTATCTAAACAATAAGTGTACAGTTAAAAATTTAATTCTAGTCAAAGTAGACTAGTCAAAGAAAAATAAAAACACTAACGGTGAGAAGCTTCTGGCTGGGCATCATTTAGGGGTAGCATCAGCTCTGATTCAACCAGTTGGTGAAGGTGCAGGGTGTGACTCGGATCTCTTCCAGACTCAGAACCTGCATCAAAATGATTACAGTCATGTCATGAACAGCTAAGTTAGAAAATAATTAATGTCAGTATTGTGTCTATACCATGGGTATTGTCCCAGATTAACATCTCAGACTCAGAGAGAGATTTGTGATCCTTCGTAAAAATGATTGGAACAGGGGGTGGCAACGCCCCCCATCTGAGCCAGTTCCGACAATCCACGCCTGGCGTTAACACCTGCTTTGGCCTGCGGCGCTGTCCAGCCTTCGGTAGACACTCTCGTCAGATCGTCACTACAAGAGACCTGATCACACATCAAAGCAGCATGCGGGTCCAACTTTAATGCTAGGTGGCTCCGCCCCTCAGACCCCAGGAGGAGTAGTGCACACACACACACACACACACACACACACAGACTGATACAGACAAAACTTTTCAACCGCACTGGAGTAACGGGCTTGCTATCGCTCAGGCAATAAGCATAGCTGCTTGAATGGGCGTAGGAGCTCTCATCTAAATAATGTTGAAAGGACTCCTTGTTGCTTTGGAACATCTCTCTGCCTTTGGAGGGTATGTATTGATAATCATCATGGTGTTGATAGGGATGATCGGCGTTCCCTGTTAGTAGGATAGCTACAGGAAACACTGAAAGGCCTGCTGTTGCCCCTTCTCCAGTTCCAGTTGTCATGTTTCACAGGCTGCAGGGAAAATTGAGAAGTGTTAATCATTTGATACTTAAAATTTCAATTAAATATTTAACAAGGTAGGTTT